AACATAAATGATAACAATCATAACGCGTTATTTGATCAAACCAATTGTTATAAAAGGACTGAACTTTCTCCTTTACAAATTCTGACTCTTAAATTTATCAAAGTTTATTTTACATACTTTAAACAACAAAAAAAAACTACCTCTTTTCCTTTAAACTAATACAATATAAACATGTCCGGTCGTGGTAAAGGCGGTAAAGGTCTCGGAAAAGGTGGAGCAAAACGCCATCGCAAGATTCTCCGTGACAACATCCAAGTAAATAATATTCCGAACTGTTGCTTAAGATATATCTTTTTGTAACCAAAATGAAGCCTTATTAATTTATTAATTAATTAATTTCTAGGGAATTACCAAACCTGCTATTCGCCGTCTCGCACGCCGTGGGGGTGTAAAACGTATTTCCGGACTTATCTATGAAGAAACACGAGGTGTACTTAAAGTTTTTCTTGAAAACGTTATTCGAGATGCCGTTACGTACACAGAACATGCAAAACGTAAAACAGTAACTTCTCTCGACGTTGGTGTGTTGAAAAAACTATTATTATTTCTTTACTATTTAATTATAATTCATTTTTGTATTAATTAAAATTTATTTTTTGTCTCGATAAAATAGTATACGCTCTCAAACGACAAGGACGTACTCTTTACGGTTTCGGAGGTTAAACGAAAAATCCTACTTATATTTGTCGAAGGACGAAGATATTATTTGGATTACTTTTATTTTTCTCATTTACTTAGACTTTGGGCGAACTTTAGGAAAAAAAAATATTTTAGCATTATTATATATATATATATAAGGGAATAATTTTCATACTTTGTCTATATTAGTTTGTGGCTTGTCTTTAAACTTAATATTTCGCGTGTATATCGTTTCTTGAATAAAAACTTCAAATACAATATGGTACTTTATTTTTTATAAAAGTGTAAAAGTTTTATTTTTTTTGCCAATTTCAAAGTTTTCAATTGTGAACTTAGTCTACGACATGTGAAGTTGATCCTGAAGTGCTACAAAAGCTTCGGAAATTTAGATTTGGGAAACAAAAAGGAATTTCTGCTTTTATTTGTGAGTTTTTTGAAACAAGTTTGATCGGTTTCTGGCCTATATTTTTAATGTAAAAAAAACACTTTTCACTTAAAAAAAGTAAAGATTGACCGAGAAAAGTTATTAGTCGTTGAAGATGCTATATATGACGATATATCTTTAGAGGATCTTGCTGAAGGTGCGATATTGATTTTTCTT